ATGTCTGACATTTCTCTATGGGTGGATTCCAGTGAATTCATCTGAAAAAGAATTGAATGTTTCACCAGAAAAGTGAATAAAACTAAGCTGCTGCTTAATTGCCTGCTGAAAATTTACATAGTACATATATTATTACAGTATGCTGTTTTGTAGTTTAGATTGTACTGGATCACAAAATAGAGACAGTTAGATGGGGAGGGCCTCCAATATCTGGGGCTTGTTCCTCATCCAAGAATTCATGTTTTGTAGTCCGGCATACTTCAGACCGCAAAAACACTTTTTCGACATTATTACATAATTATATCTACAGTACTTGATATTGATAGGCTTTAAGCACAGCAGAACTTACCCATTCCATGGAAATCTTCCCACTTACTAAGCTACCCAGTAGTACTGCAAGCTGATGGAACAAACATAAAAAGGACTGAGACTAATATGTTGTTTTCTAATTGAAGGGGATAAGACCCTTAAGATTAGAAGAGTTAGGAAATAACCTTGGACAAGGACTCCCCATCAGCCATTGATTCCAGGCTTTCCAGCAATTGAACTGCTGCGATGGCCCCTGCCACAGCTCCTATTCCAGCAACCCGGAAAAACCCAGTTTCTGTTGTCTGTCCTTTCATTGCTCCTACTGTGACTCCCACCATAGCCACAAGAAACAATGCATCTGAGTTCTATCCAGCAAAATATTAGGATATATGTGTGAAGTTGATTTGCTTCTAATTTTCCGTTAGAAATTCAAAATCTTAGTTTTATATAGTCAGTATATTGAATTAACATAAAAGAAGCATTACCTAATGCAAGAATGCATGTGAATGCAGCAAACAAAGTTTTCTTCATCACCCTAATAAAAAAACCCAATTCCAGGACCTCCCGTTGCAGCAAAAAAACAGAAAGAATACAGTCTCTTAAGCCAGAAGAAAATTGGGAGGGCTTACAAACAGGCTTGAAATAGCCTCCCTTCAATACAAATTATGTATTTAACCTAAAATCAATTAGTAATAAGTGAAGTAGCTTTCCTTGTATTTAATTCACATGTTTCATTGTTATTTTAACAATGTAGGATTTTCCCACTTAACACAAACAAGAAGTTGTTTGGGAATGTAATAGCAAGACAAACTTTTAAAGGGTGAGGAATAGAAAGAGACATTTATGAGGGTCAGGGTTCTCCAAGCTACCAAATTCATGCCATGCATGAATTACAAAATGAGGCATCAGAGATTCTCATACCACTCAGGGTCAGTAGGGTCAGGAGGCAGTTGTCCAAATATCATGTAAAATATACAATAAGAAAAATGGGAGTGATTTTAGAACTCCACCATTACTTAAGGACAGTGCTTTTATTTCTATTTCTTTTAAAAGAGAATGCTAAGGCAGCTGTCTTAGGAACCTAGGAAATACATTATATACGTGAGTGAATCCTATTTCATGTAGTATCGTTCTTAACAAGTTGTGTAAAGAGGATAGCAGCTCTGCCCCGATTGCTGGCCATAAGCAAAGAAAATATATTAGAAGAGCCTTTTCTCTGTGGGCAGGATAGCAAATAATGGTCCTGCTAAGTGCATTAATTGTTAGTTGCAGCTTGATATTTTCAGTACCCTTGGTTAGGTCTCTTTGTTGGAGTAAATGTTTACATGTGAGGTGAAAAGTAAGATCCCACATCAAATTAAGGAAAATGAATTGAAAAAGTGCAGTATATACGTTGGGCTCTTGAATTTTTCATATAATTTTTTTAGGTTCAAGATAGTTTTTTGTTCGTATGTGTTTGTATAATCTTATACGTGCGCTCTCCGTTAGGATTGTGAGTGTGGTTGAGTAAAAACTCAACAAAAGTTGAAGATTATGATATCTTCAGGACTAAAGACTCCGCTGAAGTCTTGGCCCGATTGACTCTTCAACACTTTTCTCTTTGAATCACTCATCCTGATATATATATTTCTATGCTATGCACTTTTAATTGATAGTATGACAGCCCAATACATTTCTAAGTTGAAGATCATTTCTAAGTTGAAGATTATGATATCTTTACGAAGACTCCGCAGAACTCTCGGCGCAATTGACTCCCCAACACCTTTCCCATTGAATCACTCATCTTGATATTCTGTGCACTTTTAAATTTCAATTGATAGTATGACACTCTACCAGAATCAATAAATAGTCTCTCAATTCCAACAAGAAACCAAATTGATATTGGCCTTTATTTATGGAGAAAAATGAAAATCTTTGAGCAATGTTACATATAAACTGCTGCTTCTAAGCTGTTAAACAAGAACACTGATTAAACTTTTTCACAGAAAACTAAAAGCTCTTGGTAAAAACTAAAGTGGGGATTGGGGGGGTGGGTTAAAAGAAAGGATTGCAAGCACTAGAACCCAAGAACAGGAAGCCAAAAGACTTTATGATGTGTTATAACAAGTTGGTGAATGGAGAATTTATGTATCTTCATCTGCAGAAATTGCAGAGCAACAGAGTCTTTTTTTTTTTTTTTTTTT